GTCCATATTAGACCTACAGCTGTTTCATTTTTCAGTCGGCATGTTCAAGTAGCAGCAGCAAACGTAATTCAAGCTTTGGCCCCCCTTTTGTGCGAGAACTGGATTTGACTCTGACTCTCCGAAATTTTCCACCATAAATCCAACAGAGTACGCATATTTTAACACAATGACGACAGCGTAACGCGGTTGTGTGCCCCATCAATATCACTCCGTTTTCTTGAGCTTGTGCGGCTTCTTTTTAAATGGCTTGTATGTATTCTATGGATCAAACTATAACAAACTGGAAACGGCATGGTTCATCGTATAATCAAAATGCTTCAGTTTGCAGAGGTTTCCAAGCGTTACGCAATTGACAGATCAGTTCATTCCTCTTTTTTTTCACTATTTTCATGACAATGTAAATAGAACAGAGCAGATGTTGGTACAAACTGTACGGTTAGTAGTATATGCGTTTCTCTTGGCATACCCACGTCGAAAATAATTTCGATGCCCACTGCCAAAAAATAACACTTGCTTTTTCTGAATTCCAACCAAAAGAACACTGCAGCTTCTTTCAATTGGAATTCCACATTATACTTTCGATTGTTCTACGCATCGAATACAGCTGGAATGGCTTTGTGCTATTGATATTCTGCATGGCTACCACTCAGAACTTACGAATAGAAAATTTTTTAATTTTTTTTAGTAACTAGCGAGACCGAGGGCTCGCAAAATCGCGGTTGTCCCACGTGGCAAAAGGGGCGAAATGTGCGCTGTCTTCAACGTGTTAACTGTGCTAAATTTTTGGACGCAGTACTTCGAAAAAAAAGACAAGATGATAAGCTGTACCGAACATGATCGGCTCGTATGAGAGGAGAGTTCGAAATTGTCACAGGAGTCCTCATAGCTTGAAAGAACTAAAAAATAAATGGAAATCGCGAAACGTATGAAGGTGCAAAAATAAACAAACGATAAATAAATAAACAGGAAACAGTCACCTCGCCGGCGACAGCACCGAAGACGTTGAGTGTGTCAGGGTGATATTGGGGTCATAGTAATTTGAAAAATCGTCTGGGATGTCTGTCAAATTGTGGCGAACTTGCAATTAACTGTTTGCCAGCAAAGCACAATTTTTTCACCAGAATTTAGCAGGAATTTCTCGAAGGATCGACGAATCAGGAATGGGGCCTTACTACGAAAAATTCCGGCCCTAAGACGACTTGAAAAGTGAATTCACCTCGTTTAAAGGAATCTTGCGCGGAAAAATCATGATTCTATTTCAGCCATAAATCACTGGCTTGAGACTCATTATCCACGATAATAGTGAAAAGAACTGAAGTATTGCTTTCGTTTTGATTAGAAATTCGAAAACTCGAAAAGGCTGCTACGCGTTCGAATTGCCCACGGACGTCTTTCACGAATGCTGGCGACGGGGATGCTCAAACTTGGTTCTTGGAGTGCATTCACTAGAAGCTCTTTCTGGCCTTCTGCTTCGTTGCATTCACATCTTACACTTCTACTCCATCCTATTCCATCGATCGATTTGTCTCCACTCTCCGAAATCGCGCGCTTTAACCCGATTCTCTCATTGCGTCGCCTGGTACGTAGCCGGCCAAACGCCGTCTTCTTTCCATGCCTCGCCTGGCTCTGCCTCCTGGTCCTTCGATGGTCCATAACGTGTAGTTTTTGTACGTTTGTTTCTCTTCAGAAACCGAATCTTCATGCGTGAAACTTTGTGTGCTATTTCCAGTGATCACAACTGACATATTCATGTTAGGAAAGAGTGCAAGAACGCAAGATTCCTTTAAACCACATTCCACGACTGAACTGTGTGGATCATTGCGTTCGAAAAAACAGGTGTTCTCGGTACTTTGGGATTAGTGATGAAGGGGGGGG